CTTTTTTTTTAGGCTGGCAGCCCTTAGCCTTTCCTACCTCCCCCCTGGAAAGGGGAGAGGTAGAAAGGCACCTTGCTGCCCCTCCCTAAATGCTTTCTCCAAGATGACACCCGAACTGCAGTGCAAAGTGATTGCTGTATACGAGGATGAGAGAGGAGGTGTTGTCCCACCTCAAACAGTGAGGATACCTGTGCCCCACCCTCCAGCCCATCTAGTCCAGCACTCTGGTCCCCACAGCAGTGGAGATCAACCACACGTCATTGTCTCCTGCTCATCCCAACAGCCAGGGTGAGGGTTAGACTTCCCCAGACTTCAGAAGACACAGAGTTGGGTCTCGGGACCTCACCACAGACCCCATCTCCAGACAGAGAAGAAGCCCTGCACTGGGGGTGAGTCACCTAAGTCGGTAGTCCTGACTCCTGCACCTTCACTGCCCCCAACTCCTCTGCCCTCAGGGCACAGGGCCCTGCTGTGTTTGCACTTCACATTAGTATTGTTCGCTCCAGGGTCCCAGCTTTATCATGCACAGAAAAGGCAACAGCCAAAGCCTAGGACTGACCCAAAACACACGCTTCACCCTTCTAGCCTCCTGCTGGTCCCCTCGCCTCCTCCAGTCCGCTCTGGTGAACACAAGCCTTCTGGCTTAGCTCACTCCACTCGATCCCTGCGTCCTCCTTGGCTTCCTAATTCGCCTCTCTCAGCACGCCCGTATGACCTACAGGAGGAATGAGTGGGGAGAAGGGGGTCATCCCGGGACGAGGCCCGGGGGATTGGGTGTCGGCGTTCCGGCACTGGGAATCCAGCGCCGGCTATAATTAGCCGGGTCGGGCCGCTGACCGCGATGCAGGGAGAGTTCCCTCTGCACCCGTCCCAAGCAGAGCAGGTGCTCAAGCGAGAGAGCAGGCGGAAGGCAGGCGGAGGATGACTGAAAGGGAGGGGGCAAGACGGAGGGGGCACGGTCCTGGATACCGGATCTTTACGCACGCTTCTTGAGCGCTTCGCTGCACCGAGTGAACCCCAAAGCTGCGCGTGTAGCCCAGCTTCTCCAGTCTTGGGATGCCGCCTTGGGGTGGGGATTGGGGGGAGGTGGAGTTGGAGCAGGGGGAGGGACTGACATTTCGACGGTCTGGAGACCTCTCTTGAGTCCAGCTCTGACGCCCTTCTCTCTTGCTTTTGTTCACCTGCAGCAATCTAGCAAACCCGGGCCATGAGCGTCTCGAATCGCGCACATCATCCCTCGGACCCGGAGCATGTCTCCCTTCCCGTCCAGAAGGACGGCCTTGGACTCCCTTTGTCTGCCCTTAGGACCCCCTCCTGGCCTCCCTCCCCGGACGAGGATCCCGGTTTGCTTTCCTTTCCTCTGGAAGAGCCTGGTCCCAGGGCCCGGGACCCAGGGAACCTTCCCTCTCCAGCCTTGTCCATAGAGAGAGAGGAGGAGGAAGAGGAGGAGGACAAAGAGGATGCGGAGGAGCCCGAGGGGCTGCGCAGCGAGGAGCATCCGAGTCAGTTTTTCGCCGAGGCACAGCGGCTGCGGGAGCAGAGGCTGTTGCTAGACGAAGAGGTGTCAGTCGGGGGTCGAATGTATGGGGTACATCGGGTGATCTTGGCCGCAGTCAGCAGCCTCTTCCGAGGCAGACTGCTGGGCGGCGGAGGTCCGCGTCCCCCCTTCAGTCTCGATGTGGCCCCGACGGGCTGGGAGGCCGTGCTGACCTTTGCCTATGAGGGGGTGCTGGGCCCTGCCCCATGGGGGGATGTGCAGGCCGCCGCCGAGGCCCTGGGAGCACCCCGGGTGAAGGCTGCGGCTCAGCGAAGATGCCAGGGGGCTGGAAACTCCGGGAAAGATGTAAAGAAGCCCAGCCAGGTGGAGGAGCTGAGGGAGAACCTGCGCAGCATCGAGCTCTTATACCGAGAGGGCGTTGGGTGTGACCTGGAGCTAGAGGCAGGAGGCTGCCGGCTGCAGGGTGAGGGCCTGTGGGGCATTACGTTACTGCAGGTGCATATGCTACCCTAATGGAGTGTGCAAGCAGCAGGTGGTTTGATCCCCGCCATAGTGGTTTTGATCCCTCCTGCAGTCAGAAATTCCCTGGGGTGCCTTTGGAGCCTCTCCTGACCCACTGAGAGCTGGAGCATGCGCAATTGAGTTGTTTTCCTAGGAGCGCTGACAGATTTAAACTGACCCTCCACGTTCTTGCTTTTCCTGAGCCCAGTAACAAGGAATTTCCAGCCAGCTGGCTGGAGCTGAGAATATAATCTATGCCAGCAGAACAAGCAGAAAGTGATTGATTCAAGCAGGGATAAACCAAAGATCCTTCTTGGCATCTTCTATTCAAGACACAGGAAAAGCCAGAGAAAGGTAGTGGAAAGCTCACAGTGTGTCCTTTCACCTATGTGTGCTTGACACCAGGGCAGACGTATGGGTCCTGCAGCTAACGAGCAAGGTCTGGTATTGTTTTTCTAGAATCTTAAGGCTACCAGGCCATGGCACTTTCAAGTTAACTCTGCTCACTACCAGGAAAGCTAAGTTGGATTAAATAAGGTATTATTCAGATTCTACTAATATTTAGTGAGGTATTGGGTTCTAGGAAGTTTTACACATGACATCTCATTTAATTCTCACTGAAAGATAGTGAGGTAGATGCCATTATCCCTATGTGCAGATAAGAAATATTAAACTCAGAAATGTTAACTGGTGAGAACCAGGATTCAAGCCCACATCCACTGGTCCAGTCTCCTTCTACCAGGCCATGCATTGCCTCCTATGCAGTAATACCCAGACACACAGGACCTGGAAAATGGTGTTGGAATGTGGACAAAAAGTTTAAAGTTACAAGGAATTAGTTTAGGGATTATCTAGTTCAGCTCTTACACTTTACGGGAGAAATCAGACTCCAAGACATGTCCAAAGACACAGCCACTGCTCATTAGAGGAATAACTGGGAACCAAAGTGATTCTGGGACTCCCCAAAGGAAAACAATCCCAAAAGCCTTTATTATCATTTCTGATAGCACCAGATGGAGGGGGGATTTAATATTTCATAATTACAAAATGCTTACTAGGGTTTGGAATTTAAACACACTCGTATCATACTTTTATTTCTCTAAGAAACATCCCAACATAAAATCTGAGGGGACAGGGATGAGTAAGAGGTGAATACACGTGGTTGTGAGCCCTTTCACAGCTGGCTCTGAGCTGTAGGTTGATTTATGACATGGAAGCTGAGCTGGCTTAGCTTGTTTTGAGGAATGTAGATTTTTTCAGACAATATATATTTGAAAGCTGTCACTTAAGTTTACTACTTGGGAAGCACTAGACCTATTAATAAAAGGACAATGGAAAGCCATATCAGCATCACCTGCACTTTGAGAGAGGAAAACATGCCACAACTGGTCAAAGCAGCCTGAAGTTCAAAGCCTCACTGGGAGCCTGGCACTTCTATCACCTGCCCGAGAGGACTTATAGCATCATTTTTTCCCCTTTTTATTATGATACTTTTAAAACACATAGCAATGTAAAGAAAATATTAAGATGAACACTTAGACCCAGCACCTAGACTTAATAATTAACATTTTACTATATTTGTTTCATCTCTTTATTTTTTGTTCATGTTCAAAGTAAATTCATGACATTTCACTCATAAACACTTGGGTACGTATCTCTTTAAAAGAGAACATTTTCTCATATAACCACAATACCTTTATCATGCCCAACAAATTTAATAATAATTCCTTAATATCACCTGGCTCACATTTACATTTTCCTATTTGTCTAAAAAAATGTCTTTTAGAGCTAATTTGTTCAACCCAGGAACCAATCAAGGACTATGCGGTACTTAGTTGTATTGTATCGTAAGCTTCTTTTAATCTGGTACAGTCCTCCTTTCCCTTTTTTATGACTTGACTTATTGAAGAAACAAGATTAGTCATCCTATAGAATGCTGCGTTTCCCGATTTATATGACTTTTTCCCCTCATGGTTTTGCTTAATATGTTCCTTTAGCCTGTCAATTTCCTATTAACTTGACTTCAGATCTAAAAATTTGATTAGATTTAGGTTAAATATTTTGGCCAGAATACTCCATAGAGGATGCTGAATACCTTAGATTGAGTTACTTTAGGAAGCACATGAGGTCTGGTTGTTTAACAGCATTTGTTACTAGGACAGTTTAATTGTCATGAGGGCCATGTGGATAACGAAGGTATCAGTGCACAAGTTTGCTTATTGCATCCTGACATCAGTGACAGTGGATGGTGATGACAGTGGATGGCTCAGACAGCCACTGCATGGAAATAGAAAATAAATCACATCCTTTTTCTAAGACTCAATTTCCTTATCTTAAAGGGAGGAATTGAATTAGGTGATTGTGAAAGCTTCAAGTTTCACATCTCATGATTCCATGAACTATATCAAGGTGGGGAGAGGGTTGTGCAGAGGAAAGCTGGGATACATAGGAAATATTAAGCACTAAATCTTAGGCAAGAGGAAATGGCAATCAGATAAGGTTGGGTTACAGCCATTCCTGAGTGGTACCACTTTCCCAGCAAAATCTAACAGAATGGCTGGTGGCAGTGGCTCTTGAAATTATAAGGAAAGAACTTTATTCTGTGCACAATAAGAGAGACCTATATAAGTTGCCCATTGGTCTTTTCAGTTTATTTTGTTCCCCTTTTTAGCATATGCTGTCTATGGCATCTTCTCAACTTGATCCATTAAGACTCTTTCTAACTGACCTGAACCAAAAAGACTGCAGCAATGTTTATCAAAATGTCTTCAGGCCACTAACATGGGAATCATACAAGGTGCTTGAAAATGTTAAAATACGAATTTTTCAGGTCTCCATCCAGACCTACTAAATTAGGATTTCTGGAGGTTGGGCCCTGAAACCTGCATGTTGACAAGCACCCCATGGTATTCTGATGTACACCACGGTTTGGCCTTGGGTAGTTGGTCCAAAGTTGGGGTTCCCAAATCAGGATAATGCCTAGCAGTCTTGCAACACTCTGGATCTTCCTGTAATTCTTCTTCCCTTCTGCAGTGCACCGAGCAGCCCTGGCCTGTGGCAGTGAATTCTTTGGGGCCATGCTCCTGAGTGGGATGAGGGAATCCCAGGGCACGAAGGTGTCTCTGCAAACCATCTCTACCCAGGACTTGCAACTCCTCGTCTCTTTTGCCTACTCTGGGGTTGTGCGGGCAAGGTGGCCAGGACTGCTGAGAGCTGCCCAGGCTGCTCTGCAGTACCAGAGCTCTTCCTGCCTGGATTTGTGTCAGAGAGCCTTGGCACGGGGCCTCAGTCCTGCCCGTTGCCTTGCCCTGCTCCCCATGGCTGAAGCCCCCGGGTTGGAGAGGCTCTGGAGCAAAGCCCGTCACTACCTTCTCACCCACCTGCCTGCTGTGACTTTGTGCCCCACTTTCCCTTCTTTACCAGCTGCTTGCCTGGCTGAGCTCCTGGAGAGTGATGAGCTCCATGTGCAGGAAGAGTTTGAGGCCTTTGTGGCTGCACGGTGTTGGCTAGCTGCCAACCCTGAGACCCAGGAGTCAGAGGCCAAGGCCCTGCTGCGATGTGTCCGCTTTGGCCGCATGTCTACCAGGGAACTGCGGAGGGTGCGGGCAGCCGGGTTACCCCCACCACTGTCCCCAGACCTGCTGCACCAACTCATGGTGGAGGCTGAAGTTCCAGGTCAACAGAGGCGGAGAGAGCCTGACCAGGCATTGGTGGTGATTGGCGGGGATGAGCTCAGATCAGACATGGCATTAAGACAGCCATCCCGAGGAGTGTGGTGGGCCCGGGCCTTCCACTGCGGTGTGGGACTGGTACGAACTGTGGAGTGGGGGCGGCTGCCTGCCCTGCCTTCCCCAGGGCGATTCCGGCATGGGGCTGCAAGCCTGACAGGAAGTGAACTCTATGTTTGTGGGGGACAGGATTTCTACAGCCACTCCAATACCCTGGCTTCAACTCTCAGGTACGTGCCTCTAAGAGTGGGCAGGGTGTGGCAGGCCCCCAGTGGGCAAGTAAGGGAAATTGCTGACCCAGCCAATCACAGATTCCCATGGTCATTCTTCCTACCTCTTGTCTCACTTTTCTAGGTGGGACCCCAGTCAAGAGGACTGGGAGGAGATGGCCCCTTTGTGCCAGGCTCGGAGCTTTTTTTCCCTGGTGGTGCTGGATGGAAAACTTTATGCCCTGGGTGGAAGAGGCAATGGTGTTGCCCTCAACTCCGTGGAGACTTACAACCCTGAGCTCAATGTCTGGAGGTGAGTAGGCAAGGGGGCATCAGGGAGAGACTAGGAGACTTGGACAAGAAGGAGAGTTGACAATGCTAGCTGCCTGATCTTTTGTCCTGTTCTCCCTTAGGCCAGCACCTGCACTTCCAGCACCATGCTTTGCCCATGCAGCTGCCATTTTGGAGAGCCAACTATATGTGAGCGGCGGCTGTAGTGGGACTGACCAATACCTGGCCTCATTGCTGCACTATGACCCCAAACTTGAGAAGCCAGGGACACTTCTGAGCCCTATGGGGATTCCTCGGGCTGGCCATGTCATGGCTGCTCTGGGTGGGCAGTTGTATGTGGCAGGTGGAGTAGGTGAGACGGGGGACCTGCTGAGCTTCGAGGCCTATGATCCAAGGACTGATAGCTGGACTCACCTGGCACCCCTGCCCTCTCCCCATGTGGGGGCTGCAGGTGCTGTGCTTCAGGGGGAGCTACTAGTGCTGGGGGGCTACAGCCATCGTACTTACGCCCTTTCCCACCTTATCCATGCCTACTGTCCTGGCTTGGGCCGGTGGCTCTGCCTGGGAACTCTGCCAAGACCTCGGGCTGAGATGCCTGCCTGCATCCTGACACTGCCCACCGTGCAGCACATATCTTTGGTTCCCACTCCGCACCAAACCAAACCTGCTGGGTGAAGTGGGTAGCAGATTAAGGGAGGAGGAAGAGATAAGAAATAGTGTGAGAGAAGGACAGAGATTATGGGGGGAGAGGGAGAAAGCTTTATTGTTGATAGTATTTTATTCTCATACAGTGCTTTATAGCTCACAGACTGCTTATATATATATGATCTCCACTGAGGAAAGGGAGGTTCCAGAACTTCTGGGGAAAGGGCATCAGGAAAGGGTAGGCAGCTGCATAACTGGGTAAGGAGAGGAGACCCAGCAGCAACTCCACAAGACTCAGGGATTCTTGGTGGGAAAGTATACCTGGTTGGGAAAAGAGTCAAGAAGCTCCAGTAGCCAAAGCGCAGGGTCCATGAAAAAACAGTTGGAGAAATGATTCTATCCTGTGAATAAAGGAGAAAAATGTGGAAAGGCCATTCATGAAAGAGTTTGAGAAGTGTGGGAGGAAGGACTATATATTTTTCAGCTTTTCCTTTCCTGGCATTTGTTCCTCTCTACTTTCCAGTTCCTGGGATGCCTAAAGCCTCTTGACAATATCCTTTCTTAGGCAACTTTGTAGGCCCAGCCTAGTGTTTCCCAGCCTGGACACCACCTCTTGGTGTCTGTCAAAGGCAGAAGTTCTACATTGGGACTTGGACAGCACAGGAGCCTGAGATGCTTGACAGGCCCTCCAGGGCGATGAGGTGGGAGTGTTGTATGTGGGGAAGATGAGGAGGAGAGAGGCACCCATAGTGGAAAAGTGATGATACGAGGCACGAGGGGTTGGGGTGAAAGAAATCAGAAGCCTGTCTGGCTTTTGTCCTTCCCTTTGGGTGAACTGAGGGATCAGGAGTGAAAACAGAATAAATGTGGCATGAGGTCCCAAGTTGTGAGGGGAAGTGGCAGAGAGAAGAGCAAGCAGAGAAGACCCAGAAAAGTCATTTCCCCCTTTCAGTCTCTTTCCCTCAGAGTTTTTTTAGTATCCATTTCCCTTTCTCTTGGCCAGAGAATGTTGTCAGAATCTTCCTCTCTCCCTTCCTCCATCCTGCTCTTCTTTCCTTTTTTTCCTCTCCCTTCTTTTCTCCTATCTCCCTCACACAGTTATTAATTACCTACTATGCACCATGCACTGTATGAGGTACCAAGGGTGCAAAGGCCAAAGACCGCCTGACCTGCAGAGAGACTTGTAAATAATACAAGGTTTACAGTGGACTAACACATATGGACAAAGTCCTAGGAGACCCCAGAGGATGGAGGAATAAACTCTGCCCCGGGAAGGATTCTGTTAGGGGAGGCATCTTCAGATGGGTGTAGTGTGAACTGAATCATGAAAGCTGTCTAGGAACTCACAAGCTAGAGGAGAAATGCATTCCAGACAGACAAGAGAAGTAAGAGGGGCATGCTGTGCCCTATTTCTCCATAACAAAGGGGAAGTCAGTATTCCAGAGATTCTTCAGAGAATTCTGCTGCCATTGCCAGCCTACCCTCTTTTCTGGAGACTTTCTGAAGACAAGGGCTTCCACTTAATTCTATATTCCCTCCCTCCACAATTCTCCTAAATCTTTCCTGTCTGGTATTTCCATTTCTGCCTTCTGGACAGCCCAGGACAAAGAAGGCTCAGTTCTTCGTGTAGGCCAATTTTCTATTGCCATTGTTTATTAAGATTTTCATGCTCCTAAGAGTGAGATATTGGAGCCTTCCTTGTACCTTCCTTCGTTCTGGTCCCAGAAGTACCTCACGTGTGCTTATTTATTTTTATTTGAGATTTCATTATTTTACTGAGGTTTTTTCCTATATCTCTGTTAAGGATAGACTAGGGATATAGTTGAAAATGAGGAGGAGTAAGTAGGATATATAAGAGAAAAGAGAAGGAAAAGGTTGAAGAAGAAAAGGAAGAAGGCAATTGGAGATGAGAAACTATACAGATTGAGTGAACTTCTGTGAACATTTTCTTTCTGGTTTGTATCTAAAGACAGGCTTAAATAAAAGTTTCAAGAGTTCTTCAATCATTCTTGTCTGAGTTTCTATACTACAAAAAGCATTGAAAAGAAAATTCCCTGGAATTTGGCTTCTATCTCTACCACACCACTGAAACTACCCTCCCTCCATTGTTACCATGTCCTACTTCTTACCAAAGCTAAACATCTGTGGCTACCCTTATTCTCCTTCATCTCTCTGCAGAAACTGCTGGAAAACTGACTCTTACCCTAAAAATTTCTCCTTCTGGTTCCAGAAATAGCACACTCTTCTGGGTGGGCCTTCTCTCATTTCTCCATTGAAAAGGGGTGGTAGTAATCCAAATCACAGTGTCCAGTGTCCAAGGAGGTATAGCTCTATCCCAGGTAGAGCTGATAGCCAAGGGTCCAAAGATATATGGATAGGGTAGTTAGTTGCAGAATTTTCTAGCTTTCATTATTTAGTTCTAAAATTGAGGGTGGGGTGAGGACAGAGGTGGAGGTCTTTGATTTGAATTGGACCCCCAGTCAACGGTCCATTCTTTAGTGGGAAGAGACTGAATATATGCAAGGTAACAGCTTGGGGGCCCTAGCCAAGTTGAGTGAGATTCAGGGTAGCATTTTAACCCCAGATATGAAGTGAAGTGAGAATCAGAAATTGGGACAGAAATCATTCATTCAGAGGGTCACAAGCTACTCCAGCCTAATGTTGTTCCTAAGAGAGGGATGTGATTCATCTGGACTCCAACTGAGACCAAGGCATTTAGGGGGTTAGAGGTCCTCTAACTATATAGCAGCCTGACTCATCACCAGATAGGTAATCTGAGCCCCAATGCACACTTTTCAAGCAAACTATCACTCATGAAAGCCAACTATCTCATAACAGAGTAAGAACTGCTTGTTTCAGATTATAGCTGACATTGTTTAAGAGTTTGCTATGTGCCAGGCAGTATGCTAAATACTTTATCTACATTATCTCATTTAAATGCTGATACAAGCCATAAAGAGTAGATATTATTATTCTCATTTTACAGATGAGACAGAAAACTGAAGCTCAGAGGACTTAAGTAACTGACCCAATGACATAGTTTGTAAATGCAGAGCATGTATTTAAACTCTGGTAGAAGGATTTCAGAGCCTGCTTTCTTTATTATACCTCCTCTCCAATATAGATCTACCTCCACTGAGTGACAGGCTTTCTTCAAGAAACTCTTAATGCATATAAGTGGCACTGGAGGCTTAGAGACATGGTCTTCAGGAACCTAACATCCAGTTGCTTTCAAAGAAGCTTAGCCATAGCAAGGGGTGGTAGGTTCTATTGTTTTATTTATTAGGATGTTGATAAAGATTGAATTGTGTCCCTCAAGTTTTGTGTATTAGAAGCTCGATCCCCACTGAGACTGTTGGGAGGGTGGGAAATCCTATTGTGGTAATTGAAAGGTGGGACTTTGAAGAGGTGATTAGATTGCAGGACTAACCCACTGTGAATGGATTAATAATGGTTCTGAGGGCTTTAAAAAGAGAGCATGTGAGAGTGTCTCTCTCTTTCTCTCTGCTCTACCATTTTCTACCATGTGAGACTCCTGTATTGCTGCCAACACCAAAGAAAGCCCTCACCATAAGTATTCCCTGGACTTCAGACTTCCCAGCCTCCAAAACTGTAAATAATTTTGTTTTCTTATAAATTACCCGGTTCCAGGTATTTTGTTATTAGTAACAGAAATAAATTAATACAGATGTGTTGAGCCAGCAATTGTTATGAGCATGATATCCCAGGTGAGACTTTTCAAATGGAGGACCCTGTTTTGCTCCTTTGTCACATCAGCATCATTTGTTCTTACTGCAGACTCAAGGACTAATCTCTGGCCCCATTCAAGTTTTATGAGATTATTAACCTTATTTTCTTCTGCAGCCTAGGTCACATTGCTAATTAGTAGCTGAAGAGGATTTAAATACAGATCTGTTGGACTCCCGAGTGCATGTTTAAATAACTATGTTTAGTATATACCATACTATCTTCACCCATATCCTTAATTACTCCAACATGGTGGCCAAGTATTCCAGTCCTCCCTGACTGTCCAAATTCCCATATTTTATTTCACTATTTCTACAAAGCATTAAAATGTTCTCTCAAGTCCCACTTATATCCAAAGTTGACGTCCGAATGCCTTGCCCGTCTGAAAGCATCACTCAAATCCTATGTGAGATCCAGTGTTCTGATTTTGTTTTTAATGTGTTATTCTTTTTACATGAGTCTGTACTCCTCAGGCAGGCCCCAAAAATTCCCATATTTTATTTCACTATTTCTACAAAGCATTAAAATGTTCTCTCAAGTCCCACTTATATCCAAAGTTGACGTCCGAATGCCTTGCCCATCTGAAAGCATCACTCAAATCCTATGTGAGATCCAGTGTTTTGATTTTGTTTTTAATGTGTTATTCTTTTTACATGAGTCTGTACTCCTCAGGCAGGCCCCAACTTCCAAGTCTTGTGGGCTGCTGACACACTCTTTTAATGTGTTCATGAAAAAGGCCTCCAGGGCCGTTTTAACAGTGGCCTTTTGCAGGTAATAATGCTAAAGAAATGTGAAAAGGACCTGGTGCTACCGAGGCCAAGCACTGGACTGGGAATCAGGAGATGTGTGTTCTAGTCCCAGCTCTGTCTCTCAATGGCTTTTGAACTTGGGCAAGTTATTTGTACCTTTTGGACCAAATGTCCAATGAGAAATGAATGAGTAGTTAGGAAAGTGAGAACAGCTGTTCATCTCCGACTGCTAAAGTATGGCTGGCAAGTTATGAGCAGGATTGTTTAAGCTCTGTTCAGAGCCTTGTCAATAGCATGAAACTCCTTTCCCCAGGCCCTCCCAAGAGGCAGTGCTAAGGGATTATCTGATCGTAATATGTGTTCTAGTTCCTTCTTCATAGATCAGATGGTTTTACTTTTTCTCTTTATGGATTTGCCAAAACCTAAAGTAACAATGCCAACCCCTTGTTACATAAATGGCTACATAGTCCCAACAGGTCTTACAGCAGCCTTCAGAGTGTGCCTGAGAAAGGGAACTCAGGGGCTTGTGCTCTGATAATGAGGTTGGCTACAGTGCCTGGCCATAGTAATTATTGCAGTTAATTTGAGGATGTGTTTATTGTGGCTACAAATCTAGAACGTTGCCACTCAAAATAACCTCTGACCTGTTAGTCTGTTCAAATTTGTGTTTGCTAATATGCAAGGAGCAGGTGCTGAAGTTACCTATCTACTGGGTTTTACTTTTTTAAATTTTTTTTTTAATTTAATTTAATTTTATCAATATACAATGTGGTTGATATTTGTGTCCCTTTACCAAATCCTCCCTTCTATTGGGTTTTAGACAGCAAGGGTTAGTGGTGCTAATACTCTTTAACAAGTATCCCAAGAGGGCATGGAAGTTGATATTAAATTTTTGTGCAAAGGACAGAAGCATGTACAGGAGTAATATACTAAATCTGTTCATTATCTCATGCCAAAACCTGTTCCCAATACCTCTGCAGGCTGAAAAACAGGACCATTCCTCTGATTTCAAAGACCAGCTACCAGGGCACAAGGGGGGAAGGAATGCTGAACCTTATAGATCACAATGTTTCCTTGGATTTGTTGACACTAACTCTGGGGCTGTACAGCTATTAGGGAAACATGACATCACTACATATGTCCCAGGGGTGGATTTGGATGTTGATTAACTTGACAATTCTCATTAATAAATATTTGTTGGATGAATGATGAGGGAATGTAATCAACTCCACAGATATTAGTCTCCTTGTTCAGGTAGATATGCTTGCCACATAAGCTGGCATCTTCCTCAGCTAACCTACCTCCCAAGATGAGCAGTTGCACTAAATGAAACTACTGCACAGTACCAATGTGTCAGAAATTAGGTGATTAAAAAGGCTTAGGAGGAATGGGATCACCACAGAGTAACCCAAAGTAAACCAGCCTTAAATTTTACAGGCCTGGTCTTCCTGTTTTCTATTGCTGCCCAAAACTTAATGACTTAAAATAACAACCATTTCATCATATCTCAAAAGTTTGTGTGCCATTAGTTCCACTAAATTTAGGCAGGGTTCTGCTAGGTGATTCTTCTGTTCCTTGTGTCATTGATGGAAGTCACTTGGTAATATTCTGTTGGCAGATGGGCTGATCTGGAGGGCTCGAGACAACTTTGTTCCCATATCTGGTGCCCTGGTGGGGATGTCTGGAAGACCGTTGTTGGGCTGGGTGACAGACCCTTCAAACCCGTTCTGTGCAGACTGGGTCACAGACCCCTCATACACAGGTTGCAAGCTAGGTAATTGGAAAAAAATCCTGGGAGCCACTGGCAATGTTGACATGCTTTATTTGGATGCAAGCTTGGCCCCCAGCCTGCCTCCTAGTGGATCAGAGCCATTGACTTTTATACTAGAGCCAGATAGCCAAGGAACACCTGGTTGCACATGCGCAATTAACATATTTACAACAGACAGGCTGAGCCATGCTCAGTTGCATATGAGGTGAAGGAGTCTGACCATTCTGTCTCCATTTTCCTTATAACTGTTAACTGAAGAACCTACCAGTGGTCTCTTCAAGGTGGCAATCCCAAGTGTAAAGCTATGCGACTACACCACTTCTCAGGTTACAGTAGTAGCTATGCCGGTTGTCAGGTTGGGACCAATTGTATTGTTAAAGCAATTCATAACTAAAGCCAAAATGTTTATTTATTTTAGTTACATTAAGTTTTCCATTTGTATTGTCAAGGCTAGGGCTCACAGACCCTTCAAACCCATTGTACAGACTGAGTCACCAGACCCCTCACATATCAGGCTGGTCATCAGACCCCTCACATGTAGGCCCATGCTAGGTAATTAGGAAGGATCCCAGGAGCTGTTGGCAGATGACATGAGCTCAGCCCTCAGCAGCAGCAGCAGCTTACAGCAGTGGCAGTGGCTCTTCAGGGCTTCCCAGGGGCACTGGCAGCAACAGCTTGCAGCAACAGCCTCCAGGAGCAGTAGCGGCCTCCCCATGCCACCTCCCCAGGCATCCCCA